ACTCTTCAACCCCTCCAGGGATCCCGGGGACTCCCCCCTGCCCTGGGCAGCCCATTCCAACGCCCAACAGCCCCTTCTGCACAGAAATCCTTCCTCAGAGCCAGCCTGACCCTGCCCTGGGCAGCTTGAGGCCATTCCCTCGGGGCCTGGCGCTGGGGCCTTGGCTCCAGAGACTCATCCCCCCTCTCTGCCCCCTCCTGGCAGGGAGTTGTACCTTGCTAAGAAGCGGCAGTGTTGGGTAAAACTGACTGGAAACCTCAGAGCCACATTGTCCCGAGTTCAGAAAACTGTGTGTTGTGTGTTGCCGGCTGCCTTTTGCAGCAAATGGGCCTTTGCGTGGGGATCAGTAACACCGAAAAGTGATCAGAAATGTCCCGTCCGCCTTCACCAGTTGGCTCCATCCCAGTAGTGAACTTCCTCCTGGACCCCGTGCAAGTTCCTTTCCTGTCACTGGAGGCCCAAAGGCCCCGGCAGCACGCTGGAGGTGGAGGTCTTGGTGTCAGCTTCTGATGACAACGAGCAAAACGTGGCGCAAACCCCTGCTCTGGGTGACCACGTAATAGCGGTTCCTGGCCACGGCGACGCGGAGCCGAGCCCACGACCTGCACCCGGGTGACTCAGGTGATGGGGTGGTAGATCCCACCGTCCCCTGGCAGGTTGTTTGTTGAGGAGCTGCAGAGGCTGCGGGATGGGTCTGTCAACGCAGGTACCAGGTGTCAGAGGTCCAGGAGGGACAAGCAGGAGGGGGTGACCACCGCGTGGCAGCAGGGATCGCTCCGTGGCTGCAGTCGCTTTCTCAAAGATGCCAAACTCAGTCTCACTTTGGAGGCGTTTTCAGCAACTTATCTGTAAAAAATAAAACCCCTGTGCACCCATCCTTTGTAAGCATGGCTTATATGCCGATGGAAATGCAAAAACCAGCTGTTGGTGAGCTGCCAGTGTCACCCTCCCTGTCAAAAAGCTTGTGCATCCCAGCTTTAAAGGGGGGTTATTGAGAGAGACCCCCTCCATGCACAGGGGAGGGGGAAAGGATCAGCAGTAACGAGCTGGAAACGCTCATCTTTTACCCGAGGATACTACAAAACTCATCTAACCCCCTTGTACAAACACGGCAGAACTTTTCCGAGCCTACAGTCCAAATTATTCCTACACTGCATTTTTGTTTAAGCATTAAAATTCAAGGTCTAAATACGTAGTTTGAAACTGGAGATGAGTACACGCACATTGCAAATGTAGATATATCTTGCTGAGTACACAGCCCATAAAATATGTAGTATAAGATCACTCATTTATTTAAAGATGCTTTTTACTTCAGATGGAAAATGACACAAATCTAAATATTACAATGCAAAGTAATGTGTAACTGTCTGTATGTTATAGCCTTAACACTATACTTTTGATGCAGAAGAGATATAGCAGCTGCACTTTAATTTCAAGCAAATTGATCCCAGATGTAAATGTTGTTTTGTTCCATGGAAGATAGTGCACAGGTAAAGCAAATATCATTGGTTTATAGTCCAACAGAGTGTTGCAACAGGATCCAGCCTCTTCTGCCTGGGCACACATAAAAGCCTGGTGGCTGCGACAGAGTAGGAAGCCTGAAAAGGATTCCGTAAAAACAGACAGCTTTGCTTTTTACCCTTTAAGCATACAACCACCTGTGATCTGAGGAGCTGTTTTGAAGCCGGGAAAGCTTCTTGGTTTGTCAGTTGTCCTGCAGGCAAAAATCTAAATTTGACTTGTTTTTCCATTTCTTTCGCTGCGCATTTTGCAGGAGCGTTGTTCTCCCGCCGTATTTGTGTTTGGCATAGGAAACTGTGTTTACCGACTCGCTAAGCCACTCCTTTCAAAGTACAAATAGTCGTAGTAATTGCTCTTCACTTTGCCTGGAGATACCCCAACGTCAGTGGCACCATGGGCGATGTGTAAACAGCACAATAGTTTCTTTACCATCCCCTGCGTATAGAGGATAGCAAACTCCAAATATCCTGCTGTCATATCCTTCTTTCCAACAACAAGATTTTTTTTTTTTCTTTTTGATAAAATAAGGCAACCTGCTTGTCCAAGGAGGAGAAACCCACCAAAGACACTTACCCCATTGCTGCTTCCCAGTGCCAGCACTCAACAGGCACAACTCCCGGAGCTGAGTACACTCATCCAGAGGCAAGAGATCCCTCAGGTCAATTCCTTCTCCTTTTCCAAACTGCAGATGTAGGACCTGGCTGTGCAAGCCTTTCCTGTGCAGGCTGGCACACGAAGGACTGGTCTTGGCCCACACCGAGGGATGCTGATCCTGCAGGCTGGCTCAAAAAGGGGTGGCAGCGATGCCCTTTGCCTCTCATGACAACATTCCCCTTCTGTCAGACCTTTTTTCTTACATCCCCTTTTTCTTTCCATCCTCCTGCGAGCTGGATTACTCGTAGCCAGTGTTTGCTGCTTTTATTATCTACCGCTTTTAGGTCAGGTCTACACATGCATTTATTCAGGTTTCACGAAGGCTGCAATTTAGTTAAATTGGGGGAATATTGTGTTTGGAGGCTTTTAAATCAGTACGGTTTGAATTGAAGTTTAACTGATTGAAGTTAAACGTTTGAGAGCTCCTCTGCTTGATAGCGAGGCGGGTTTATCTCCTGAATTTCCTTCTGAATCAGTCTAGGCAAATCAGAGGATGCAACTGCCTTTCAAATACCAAAATATCCAAATAAAGCTATAAAGGTGTTACTGAAGGGCAGGTACTAGACAAAACTGTGGCACTTCTGCACAGCAAGTATTTTTTTCCCCCGCACAGCACAGGGAATCGACTGAATCTGTCACAGATGTGTATAAGATGGGTACAACCTTACGTCGCAACTTCTGCAAGTATTTAGCAGTAAGACATATTGACCATATTCTGAAGTCCTTACTCAGATGAAACCTGCCCGGAGGTCAATGCGAATCTCAATTAATCAATTTATTCAGAAACAGCTCACTGTTTCTGTACGGTTTTGAAGCTCGTTCCTTTGAACAGAATACAAAATTAGAATTAAAACCAGGCCAGGACATGGGAAGACACAGACAGTGTTTGTCCATGTGAACGGAGGGCGTTGCCGAGAAGGAAATGTTAATTTTTCGGAGGCGATGGGTTGCAGGAGGAGGCTGGGGCAGGAGTGGGGATGAGGATGCGTTTGCCGAGAGGAGGTCATGGCATGCACTCAGCCCCGGCTGCCTGACAGAGCTGCTGTATAATAGCAGGGCACTTACCTCAAATCATAGGTTGTGAAAACTGACATTTCCATTCAAATTACTCCAATAGCCAACTGTTCCCCGGTGCAACTTCTTCTGTAAGTGACACGGTGACAGTGATCCAGGAATTTAACTTGCTGTTGTCTCGTTCCAAGTGGAATTATGAAGTTTGTGACATGCATTAGGAGGATGGCTCCTGGTCGCAGCCGGTGCTTTGTGTGTCTGGGCGATTAATCACAGGTCGAGCGCAGAGCCCGGGAAGTTTTGTCAGCTCAGGATAGCTGTCCCTGCTGTGAACCACCTCACACTGACTCCTCTCCTCCTCGTTTCCCATTGTCTGAGCAAAAAGCTACGGCTCCACTGAAGTTTTCCTGGCACCTCCTTGTTCCCTGAGATTCTTTTAAAGTCTCTCTCTTTAATTATGGTGGGCAGATCATCTGTCCTTGACACATGAGTACCTGATGGTCACATTGCTGTGCTCCCTCCTCTCCTCAGGGACGCCTCTTGGATTCTTTTCTTTTTTCACAACTTGACTGTCATCTCAAGTTACCTTTTAAATTTCTGTCTAACCTTTTAAGCAGGAAGCCTTTTCTGTTCATAAAATAAGCCAGCAGATTTCTGTTTGCCATACATAGACTGAAACTGCATATAATTTTTGCCCAATTTTATTTCTGTATTACATGGCCAACCATTAAACTTCTTTGGTTTGTGATACTCTGCAACAGATACCTCCAAATTCCAGTTTTTGGTGCTGGAGCCAGAGCTCTTGATGGTGAATTGCCTGCCTGTGCCTTAGAGGGTCCTGGACAAATCACCCATCGCCTGCCACTGCTGAGCAAGGCAACAAAACTGGAGGTAGGTCCTTTGTACACCACGGTGGCACCTTTCAGAAGAGGGTCCCGGGACCCATCCAACAGCCCTGCGGAGCTGGGAGAGATCAGGACGTGGTGGGAGGTCAGGCTGTGGGCCCCCGTGTTCTACCCCATTCCTCTGCCGAGGGGCTGGACGAGGACGTGGATCCTACTGGAACCTTAGTATGGACCTTGTGACCCGAAATCTGCAGTGGCCCTGAGCCCCGTCATCCATCTGAACGTTCTCGCGCTCAGAAACCATCCCCATCTTGATCTCAACCTGGCCCTCAGTTATCTTCTCTCAAAACACATTTTTGTAACTTCTTAACCAGCAAATATACCAATCAGTTATTAAGGAAAATGTAATTATAAAGTCATGTTTATCTACACTTCTTTGAGGAAAACTAGGCCTCGTTATTGCCCTCACAGTCAGAAGAATAATTAATGTCACGTTTTTATAGTGAATCCATTACCTCCTTGGGCAGGGAGTGACTCTAACCATATTTTGCAGAAAAGCTTTCAGAATAAGAAAAATTGTAGCGTGTGCCAAGTGTCTGTGAGTCAGAGTCTTCAGCGCCTGAGAACAGAAGTCAATAAAACAAATACAGGGACTGTTGATTCGACACCACGCGCCATCCATGAATGAAGACATTCTGCTAAATTAAGATTATTCCATCATTGTCAAATTAAATCCTCGTAGAAATACTGCGTCTCAAATGCACTGCAAAATGATGTATTACCAATATGCTCAGAGGTCAGTTATTAGGGATGTACGTGTTATCCTGGAGTATCAAGCTACTCAAAGCTTACACTTTGATCTTACTTCCAAGTTTCTGGAAGTTAATTCTGGTCCCTGTTGAATCCCTGGGCTTGGATGATGTCTGTGCTAGGAATTCACCACAACTATTTTTTGGTAAGACGGATTTCCCATCTTCCTTCACCCATCATCCCAACATTTCCTATACCTAAGTCATCTTCTGCTCATGGTTCCCTCCGGGTCTGAGCAAAGTGTTTGCAAGCAATGGGAAGGGACTGTGACCCCTGGGCTTTACATCAGGTGCTCTGCTACTCTGTTTTGGTTTCTGCTTTCAGAAATCTCATCCGAAAGCCTCTTCAGTCTTCAGAGATGCCGCGGTGTTACGCTGTGCCGTCTGTCCTGGTATCAGATGGCCGTGGTTAAAGCTTTCGATAAATTCCTTTTAAATATGGCTGTGTGGTTTTCCACCTGCAAAGAAATGCAGGCTCATTTACAGACTGCCGTTGTGTTTATGTTCATCTTTGAAGACACATCCATCTATTGAGAAAAGGTCAGACCAAGACTCTGGAAATTGCAGCTAAAGCAAAAGTGGGAATTGGATATGTCCCAAACCAAAACTTTCTAAAATTTTGCTGTTATCGCCTTAAGAAAGGAAACTAGACTTACTCTCCTGGGGAAGTGCTTCGCAAGTCAGGGTACTTCCGAGGGAAAGAAAATGTACAATCTTTGTTTATTCTTCACCCATATCTGGAATACCCAAACAATTTATATATGTTTGTTTCAAAGCGGTTCCACAGTACCATGGATGCTGAGCTATATCTGGGACTTGATAGCTGACTTAGTGCTACTGAGCTGACTCAAAATAGCCTTTTGATACTAAATATTTCTTCACGCTTACGGAAGGGTCATATCAATACAAGCAACCCTAAAAACCAGAAAGCAACATGAGAAAATAATGTGGTTGCTCAATTCCCTGCGGTGGACCTGCTTTGAATATCATAATGAGGGCCACAAGCACTTCAGTTTCTTGATGTGAGAGGCCTCTGGAAATTGTTGAGAGATCGTATTCCTGCGAGGGAAGATGTGCCGTCCTCAGGAAGAGGAAAGCCCCCGTATCTTCTGCAGTGCCCACCGCTCCCAGCGCTGCGGGAAATGCAAAATATTGGGTGATCCCGCCACCTTGCACAAGCATTTGTAGGCATCGCACAGCCCTGTGGGAGCTCCTGGTTGTCTCGGGCACTTCTACATGGAGCAGAAATGATAAAAAACATTAAGAACCTCAAAAATAAAAAAAACAAACCTAATGAAGCATGTGCTCAAGGGTGTCGAAGAGAGCGAAAAATTACTGGAGCACAGAAAAGAAATTTTAAAAGTTGGGGGTGATGCAGTGTTCCCGATTACTGCTATAGAGGGTTTGGGTGAGAAATAAATAAAACCCAACCAGCTTAATGAATATTAAGCTGCATCCTGAAGTTTTGAGAAACACCACTTCCCCTGTCCGGAGGAGTAAGAGCTTTAAATCTCCCATGGTCTGGCTGAAGAGAGAAGCCTGTGTGCCAGGTTTGGGTTGGAGATACGCTGTAAAAATTGTGGCTTTCATTACGATGAATCACAGCAAAAGTAACAAAAATGCGTTTTGATACGACGGTGAATAGGGGATTAACTGCACAATGCTGCCGTTTTTTGAATTCTGCATGTCCCCCATTTGTTTTGTGTTTGTCCGTCATGCCAGCAATAAAAATAATGTTTGGCTGCTAAGCGAGCAAGTGTGCTAAAAAAAGGGCTTTATAGTGCCCAGAATCTGTTTGTCAGCAGGTGACTGCTGCGGGGAGGGAGAAAGGGGGAAGCTTGTCTTCGTTTATTTTCAAGGGCTGAAATTTAATGCTGGGAACTCAATTCATATTTTGTTTCTTATCAAAACTCTTATCTCTGTGATTGTGAGCATGTACATAAACAAACAAACAAAAAATTATAATAATAAAAAAAAAACAGCCGATCCAGCCTTGCTGGGCGGGTTATTTATAGAAGATCTCTGCCTTTTGTCAGAGTGGTGGGCTAACGATGTTCTTCCAGAATAAACCCCATTCTGTGCAGCAGAAGAGGAAGAGTCCTGCGGAGAGTGTGCGTGTAAGCTAATGTCCGCGAGACAGAAAAGGGCTGTGGCAGAAAACGCTGCTGAGCAAAATCCACAACAATCTAATCATGATCTCTGGTAGTCAGTGAGAGCTGTGGGAGAAGACGTTGTATAAAGCAGACACATCCAGGAAATAATGCCTGTCCAGTGCAGCCAGATGGAGTGGGTATATCCTGACAAAGCATTTATTTTAATAAATGTTCAATTAAAATTATTTCTGTAGTGCAAGCATGGTCCAGAAGTAGTATGGGAATTAATGACTGCAGATAGAAATAAACATTAAGGTAATTGTGCACTAGTTAAGAAGGGCGGTTATGAAATATAAATCTTAGCATTTCCATAGGATTATTTTGTGTATGTATGAACCAGAAAATGTTAGTTCAAACTCTGATTTAAAACAAAAAAAAAAAAAAAAAAAAAAAAAAAAAAAATCACCCTTAACAGTGCTGGCTCTTCCTGTGCCCATGCAACACGTCAGGAATCTGTAGGTTTATATAAATACAGTCACTGAGGAAAAACTCCACCAGAAACTTTGATCTGTGATATAATGTATGCACTGTCTAGTCAAAAGTTTATGATAGCGGAGATCTCAGATAAACAGAGGAAGGGGGTTTTTTTGGTTTACACCTTGACAGAACCCCATTTATGTGCGGATTTGTGGGTACCTGAATCCCGTATTACGTGAGGAGGGCTCTTCACGCAGGTAAAACCTGTGCACGTGCTTAAGCATTGCCGGAGACGGCGCCCAAGCAGACGCCTAACAGCAGATTTTTATTTTACTAGTGACAACTTTCTCTTCGTCCTTCTGTGAGTTTGTTTCTCAAAATGCAATTCTGCCTCGGGTTCAGATTTCGGGAGCGTACGAGTGATGCGGTCGCAGCCGTCACTTGGAGTCGAAGGTGGAAGGCGCCTGAAAGAGAACACAAGTTGGACGTGTCGATGGCAGGGGTGGGTCTGACACTCATTAGCAGAGACTCTGAAAATGCCGGAGCTGAAAAGGTTAAGTTCACCATTTAGTTTTATGAGAGACTCGGTGCTTATCTGGCAAAAGATTCCAAAGCGTAGTTTGGTGAGTTTTTTTAGAGGTGCTTCCTTTAGTTCAGTAATTGGGCCTGCGTGGTTATCTCAGCTCTTTTCCCCCTATTTTAAACTTTATTTCTGCATATGCTGAGGTGGTGATGTCCAGCGCGCACAAACCCTTCCCAAGAGCAGGCGCCGGGCCTCACGCCTCAGGACACCCAGCGGCGCGTGTCCTTTTGCAGGTGCCGCCGCTCACTGCGCTGGGTGTCCTGCGTGGCTGGTGCAGGACTGGCGAACCAAACCACGCTGGCCACGGCAGAGTGACGCTCCCACAGCGTGCTCCCGGCCCAGCCCTGGCACCCAGCCGGGATGGTGCACGCGTACACGGTTACACGGCGATGAGAGAAAAATCAAATTTAAGCTGCAGGCAGTCAATAAAACTCAAACCCACTAAGTGTTTCTAGAAATAAGGCTTTGGAGAAGTGTCTGTGACCCAGAAAGAAAAATCTTCATCAGTGTCTACAATTCCTGGAAGTTGGTTGCTTTTTTTTTTTCCTGCCACATCTCCTCAACCTGCCACGTCAAAGCCTTGACGGCTGCGTCGGATCTTCCTTCTGTGCAGTCGCCCAGGGTGGGCATCCAGCACAAAGGGGACCACAACCCGAGGCTGGTTCATGCAAAGACGGTGAATGGTTAACGGCCAACCCACCGGATTGTCCCCCACGCATCTGCCAAGCGCCCACATCTCCCACAGCCACGGTGTCAGCTCTGGTGGGCCACTGGGAGCTGTTCTGATGAAGACTAACCCAGGTTGCAAATATTGAGTGTTGAAATTCAAGCCGCCGGTGTACCTAGGGGAATGAAAACAAGGGGAAGAGAAATATTGGAATAAATTTAAATAAGAAATCTATTCAATGAAATAAGAACTGATTTGGTTTTTGCAGTACCTGCAAGCAGTGGAGCTAAAGACCAGTCATGAAGATGCTTCCACGTCTGAGTAGCTACACACTGGAGTAGTTCTCCGGAGTGCACTGTGCTCATGGGTGAAAAGCAATGTGTAAGTCCTCACAGGCTTCAACTCTAAACATTCAGTTTATTTGTGACAACATTATTTGTTCATTCCTAATGAACAAATATTTCAAATAATACTGTTTCTTTACATTTTCTAAATGTTGTTAAAAATAAAAATTGCATTAATTTAAATATTGCACGCCACACAAGTACAGACACTGTAGAGGATGCGAGTTAAAAGGCTGGAGTTGTGTTTTCATTTTCAGGCTACTTATAATGCTCACGTCTCCATTACCGTGTTTGACATTGCTGTATACCTCCCGATTCCATCACGAGAAACACCCTCATCCTTAAATCATCACACTAACAGCTTTTGCTGTTTTCTCCTTTCACTCGGAGCACAGGCTGTGCATCTTCAAAGTCAATGCATCTCTCCAGTCTTTACAAAACGGGAGACAAATAAATAAATAAATAAATAAATAAATAAATAAATAAATAAATACATACAACCCAAGGGCTGGTAATTTAGTACTAGAAAGTTAATTCAGGAGACCTCTAACCTTTAAACCGCCACATGACTATTGATTTTCAATATTGCGCGGGTCCGTGCCACCCTAAGCGTGTAGTTCAGCAGATTCAGAACAGTTTTTTCCTTATCAGTTCAGTCCCCGAGTACTTGTGCATTAAGACAACAAATACCGGCGGCTCCCGGCCTGTCACATGGCGGCCCGGCGGACGTGCCGCGTTTCTAATGAAGTCGGGCCGTTGGCAAATAGACCCTGGCGAGGGGGCTCCTCCGGCCCCTTCCCCTTCCTGAGGGATGTGCCGCGGCTGGGGACCAGTGGGAGCAGGGGGGGATGTGAAAAAAAAAACAAACAACAAACCACTTCCTTCACACCAACGCGTTCATATTTAACGCTTCATTATATTCCTCACGTTAATTCGAGGATTTCAAGGTTTCTAAACCTGCTTTTCCCCACCCAAGAAGCAAATGACGATGGGAAT